AATAGATGACAGTGTAGATGACAGTGGATAGGGTAGACAACAGAATAGATTGACAGTGTAGATGACAGTAGATAAGGTAGACAACAGAATAGACGACAGAATAGATGACAGTGGAAAGGGTAGACAACAGAATAGATGATAGTGTAGATGACAGTGGATAGGGTAGACAACAGAATAGATGACAGTGTAGATAACAGTGGATAGGGTAGACAACAGAATAGATGACAGTGTAGATGACAGTGGATAGGGTAGACAACAGAGTAGATGACAGTGTAGATAACAGTGGATACGGTAGACAACAGAATAGATGACAGTGTAGACGACAGTGGATAGGGTAGACAACAGAATAGATGACAGTGTAGATGACAGTGTAGATGACAGAAGATAACATAGTAGACAACAGAGTAGATGTGTAGATGACAAAGTAGAGAAGACAACAGAATAGATGTCAGTGTAAATGACAGAATTGATGACAATGTAGATGAGTGTAGATAACAGCTAATGCGGATGACAGTGTAAACAGAAGTGTAGATAAAGGTATAGAGTGTAGATACTATAGATGACAGTGTAGCTGAGCATAGATGAGTGTATACAATAGTCTAGATATCAGCATAGATGAGTGTAGCTGAACACAATTCACACCTTGTGAAGGACCAACAATCTGAACTCCAGGAGGTAACATCATCACAGTCGGCTGTGCTTGTTGAACCATTCCAGTTGCCATGGGAACCTGATAAGGAGCATTCGTCTGTGGGTTTGGAATGTAATACATCTATAAAAATAAAACAGAATGTTCATAACATCAGTATTACTTCACATAATTATTCAGACCACATCACATCCAAGGTAGATGGATGGGCAATCTAATAAGCAAACTTTATATTTGTCTCATCTTTATTCCCATTGATTATATTTGTATATATCTCCCTTTTAGTGAAGTGAATTAGTAACAAAAATAATCTCAAATATGATATAAAATTACCTATTTGCAATTTCAATTGAAAAATTGCCTGTATGCATGTAATTGTTGACTATCAACACCAACACAGATGACTTCACTGTGGATGTGCAGAGATCGAATATCTACATTACAGTGTTAAATGAGTGCTAAAATTCTACATTCATACACCCAATTTAACAACTTTACATTTTTTATATCTGTAATATGTTAAAAGTGTGATTTGCTTTTTATTTTATCTAAATCAAGAGTTAAAAAGCAAACAAAATGTACATCATATATGCTGACTGACTCATTGAAAAGATGTCCAACTAATCAAAGTGCAATGCAATCACTATAGCAACAGTCAAATAGTTCTCTTGTGAGATAAGATTACAAAATCTCAGTATTATCATTTTAATGGCACCAATGTCAGGGCAAAAATGATTGACCATACTGGCACTACAAGAAATTAAAGACTTACAAGGCAAGTTGCTTTTGATTGAAATTTCCCAAAAGTAAATGTATTGCATGTATTTGAATCATAAGTGAATTATCATTTTGTTTCTTGAGTGGGAGTTTAATTTGAACATGTACATGTACCAAGTACAAATATCACCTGGATTTTGAGGTTCTCAATTAATAAAAATAAATGATATAGGATGTTTATGATAAAATGATCACATACAGATACAGCACATTTGGTATTTCAGAAATATTCATTGGGTTTGAAAATCACTGATTCATGAAGTCAACAGTACATTTTATGAATATTAATGTTTTATTTAGTGCCTTATTTACAGCCCAATACAGTATACATAATACGTGTAGGTAACAGTTTTCTAGGCAGAAGCAACACGAGTGTGACAATCAAAATACAACACAGCTCTCATGCAACATGTTATCATTTTTGTCTCCTTATTCACATGTCCCATTAAGAAAAGTAACACTTTTAACCCTCAAAGCGAAGGAGTCGTCACCTGCGCATGCGTCAGATGGCCATAGCATGTCATAGCAAACAAGCGTCTACCCAATGCCTTTGCATTTTTAGCGTGTGTTGTTATCGTCACTTGGAACTCAATTCCTGCACATGCACAGGTGACAATCCTCCTGCTTTAACTGGTCAAGTCAATATAAAAGTACATAGAATTGGCAAGATTAGGGTTAATGCGTCACATCCATGTCGTGCATGTAACTGTATTTGTCTGAGCATAATGACCTCAACGCAGAAAAAGGGGTGGGCATGTCAAGAATATTCTTAAAAAAAGTATCAAGCAGTTTTCATTCACCATATGCAAGCTAAGTTTTTTACTGCATGATTCAACCTGCAACATATATAGGTCAATTAGGTTTGTTATTAACTAATGGTAATGCAGTGTGTGGTACTGATGGAACACTCTGGGATTTCCCAAATACTGACATTGACATTATTTTTTAACGCAATGCAGATGTGAAATACCAATGTTGAAGTATGATCTGTACAGATATCAACAATAAAAAATACATTGATTGTTTTATTTTACAACAGGTGATTATCAATTTTTGCAAGCAAACAGTATGACATCATTGTTGTTTACCAATAAACATCCTACAAAAGTTGGGGTGGGTGTTTGATGAGACATAAGTGCATGGTTGAATACAATATTAACTTTCAATCATGCTTGTCCAAAATTTACATCACTGGATATCTAAACATATACCAATTATAAGCTTCTATGCTTGAGTCAGATTTTGCAAATATTAATTTGTGTGAAGGAATGCTCTAATAAAATATAGAATACATGGTTGAGCATGAAGTGTGCTAGAATGTGTGATGAAACATCTTATGTAAGCATGAAACATTGCCGATAAATATGCAGCATACTAGAATGTATAATTACCATGGGTTGTGAATTTACAGTTTGTGATCTTCCACAGCATACAGCACGACAGCATAACGCAGAGTTTATAATAGCAATGATTGCTTCCACAATAGATAGTAATATAACCATACCATCAATTATTTGTCGTTTTCTCTGCAATAAATAAACATCCACAGAAGGATTTAATTAACAACAAGCCATGCATGGCACAGTCCCTGTTAGGTATTGAATTTAAGATACATGTATATAGTTTTGTTTATAGTAATATAGCTGGAATATAAACATGTCAGAAATATGATTATGATGATTGTATAACATTTAAGTGATTGACATTTGTATCTGATCGTCAAACAAGTATTGAGAGATATTGCTCTGGAACAGCATTAATTAAAACAAAATCAGCCATATTGAGTACATGTATAATGAATATATAAAATTTGAACATAGTCAGTCAAAGCATGTCAGAGATACCGGTATGGCTCTAGAAGCCCATTCATTAAAAAAAAATGGTCGCTAAGTCAGCCATTTTGAATCCGATCTAAAAAATAAAATAACGTGCATCAGGAACCTGTAATGTCTAATGTATGTACCAAGTTTGAACAAAATCCATCCATGTTTGATATTTGATATTCGGCCATTTTAAATAGGATCGTCAAACCAATATATCTGTATATCTATGACATGATGTATAATGAATATTTAAAATTTGAACATATTCAGTCACAGCAAGTCAGAGATATGGCACTAGAACCACATTTATTAAAACAAAATGGCCGCCAGTCGACCATTTTGAATCTTATCTGAAAACAAAATGTGCATCAAGGTCCTATAATGTCCAACGTATATACCAAACAAAATCCATCTGTAAACAGCCGAGAAATGCTTTATTTGGATGATTTTTAGAAAAAAAATGGCCGCCATTCGGCCATCTTGAATCTGATCGTGAAACAAATTGATGTGCATATGTATAATATCATGTATGATGTATGTGTGCAGTTTGATTGTGATTAGTTTAGGCATTTCTAAGATACAGGTCCTGACGCACGCACGAACGTACAGAGTTCAAAACATAAGTCCCCGTTTTGGGACTGCGTCCGAACGGGGACTAAAAATATTATTAAATAAAACAAGATTGCAAACATTCAAAACTAGTGTTAAGAATATTTCATGTCATTGAACCTGTGGCAAACTAGTCTAGGTGGGTGCTCAATTCCTGATTCCCGAATTGATAGTGTTTGCGCATAATGCGCAACCTGACGACAACAAACCCAAAGGCAGGACCAGCTAGATTTTGAATATTCCACATGTGAAGAGTTGCCGTACACCAATTGTTTGTGTTTCCAACTCGCAGCATCAAAAAATCACCTCAAATAAAAGGGCCATCATGTTTCAACTAACTCTCATCAGTTTCTGAAACTTTGCTCAGTGTTCTGCATAAGTAAGAAAAACTAACATACAAATTATCTTTAGCTATAGTATATATTTGGGGAGGGAACAATGTCATGATCATATTAACTCGGTGATACACACGTACCATCTCATTTTCACTTCATTTTATCTGTAAAAACAAGCAGTCTGTCGGCTGAGATAACTCCACTGTTAGCAATGAACATTGCAATTAAAGAACAGAAGATATCATTAGAAAATGAACAATATGTATAGTATCAAAGCAATCGGACTTGCTGTTTTCAACAAGAACTCAAGAAATTACAAAAATATTCATCAAAATTAGATAATTGAAGATATCACCATGAAATGAACAAATCTGACAGAGGTTCACATATAGTACCTATAAAGATCCACATGTAATATGTAATATCAAAGCAATTAGACTTGCGGTTTTCAACAAGAAGTCGAAAATATCACTTTTACCAAAAATGACAAAAATATTCATCAAAATTAGAGAATTGAAGATATCATCATGAAATTAACAAATCTAAGAAAGGTCTACCCAAGGTACATATACACCAAGTATCAAAGCATTCAGACTTGTATTTTTCAAGAAAAAGTCAAAAAAGTAAATCATTGACACAGACGACAGACAATCACTCATATGTTAAGTTACACTCGACAAAGTCAACAGCGGGGCAAAAAATCATCTTTTTCAACTGGTAATCCACTTCTCAACTGTATTATATACTGTAAAACATGTTGAAAAAGTGACATGCAATTTTAGCGAATTGTGGTAAAATGACGTAATAGCGAAATGTTGATTTAGCGAATCTTTCTTGTCATTGTTCATTTCCTGTTTTCACAATACTTGTATGTCACGTGCCAAAACAAATGCACAGTTATCACCTCCATAAAAACAAAGAAAAACTGTCAAGTGTAATTAGGAAACGCCCCATATCTTTATGTTCCGGATTACTGTATACAAATCCCCAAGCGTTTGCCATTTTGAATTTATAATGAAGTCATTAGCGACATCTCAAATTAGCGAATCAGTTCTCTCGCTAAATTCGCTAAAGACATGCTCGCGAAAAAGACATGTTTTACAGTTGTTCTTCTACCTGACCCTATTGTACCAACACATGCTCACTCTGCTACCTTTTAAAAGCTGTTTTAAATATGCCACTGACTTCTTCCGAGGTTGCATGTTAGTCATTTTTTTTTTACTTTTTATATTTCTGTCCTACCCTCGTTCGTTGCCTGATGGGTTATGCATTTGCAAATAGAATTACATTATGTCTGTCGAGAATTGTAGTACACTGCATTA